TCGACTGTACACCGTGTTCGTGTTTTCCTCCAAAAACAATAAGTTCCGTTGGAGCAGCCTTTCAACGCCTCTCTCTGTCTCTCGCTAGCAAAGTTGAATACATTTTAAAAGTAACCTTCCCAACACTGCTAAACAGTATATTGTATTGTTTGTATTTTATTACTATGTACAAGAAGTCAACCAACAAATTGTCATTGCTATCCATACAGCCAAATTAGCAGGCAGACTTCAAAGTTATTATGAAAAGTTTATAACTCTACTTCACCACTCTGATAAATGTAAGATTGAATATCACACTGATTTTTTGTTTTTCCAAATTCTAATGAAAACAGTATTTTCATTATTTTCTTTAGAAAAGTATGTGTTGAAAAGGTTTTTGGTTGTTCAGAGCAAAACTTATTGCAATCGGATGTTAAACAGAAAGTGCTTATCACATGACAGCTGAGAGATTTATGAAATGTGGAAAACTTTAGAGCTCCCATTTTTCAAGCAATAATTATATGAAATTATAAGTGTATAAGCTTAAATGTTGGAAGTAACAGAAGTTGTATACATCTGTCTGTGTGGTTGTTAAGATCTTTTTTGTCAATGAATATATGTTTAAATTATGTACAATATTATCTATTTGGTATATTTTAAAATGAATAGATCATTTACATCCATCTCATCCTCATTTCTCCAGGTGTCTGATTTCAGCACCAGAAGGAATAAAGAAAAAAAACCATACATTTCATCTCTTGAAGTTTGAACTCATTGCAATGAACCGAAATTCAGCAGAAACTGAGATGGCTGACATCAGCGATGACGTGGAAGCAGAGATTTTATGTAATAACTACTGGAAACTGTGCGTTTCAGAGTTTGTGAAACAAAACCCAGAGTCCCAAAACACACAGCTGTTCTCACTGTTGGTGTTGTTGAACGCATATCTTCCTAATTCTTACCTCCGTATAGATGAGTGTCAACAGATCCTTGGACCACCTGATCTAATCCATGGAGGTCCTCCCTTTAACGAACGAATGGAGCCTTTCACCTTTTTGATCAGTCCAGTCCCTGAACATGTGACAATAAATCACCCAGTGATTGCACAAAGATCTGTGGAGCTGCTGCATGATTTGAAGATTAACAGAAGCACTACAGTGAAAAAATTAATGCACTTACTATGTGGATCTGAGAGTGAACTACGAATTGCCCAATACGTCAAAGATTTGCTAACAAAGAGAGAAATGAGTGAGGATGGTCAAGAGAAATTCTCAAAGTTGATCAGGGATATTTTGACACGAGAGAGGTTTTACCATGCTGTGTCTGCACTGAAATGTGCATCAGAAAAATTTGAAACAAATCCTATTTTTCCTCAAACTATTTCTCGTCTGTATCAAAAGAAGGATACGACTAAAGCTGAAGCATGGGCGAGAGAGGCGATTGAAAGAGCTCCAAACAACTCTTACATGGCTGACACGCTCGCACAAGTTTATAAGAAACGCTTGATTGATCCTGGTGAGGGTATTTTTAAAAAGGCACGAGAAGCCTTCCAAGCATTTAAAGATGTGGAGAAGAAAGCTGAGAATGAAGCGCTCTCAGAGACGATGGAGGCGGCTGAGGCTGAAAGCATGTCGGATACCTTCAACAACAGAGGCCGCTTTGGTTTCATTCAAGTGGCAAATATTGCTTTTGAGAAACTCAACTACTGCCCTGCAGATATAAAAACAAAAGTTGAAGAGGAGTTCAACTTTTTTGAATGGTATCTAACCTACTCCAAACCTGGCATGAGTACTCTGGAGCCACATTACTTCTGGAAGGATGTTGCACTCTGTTACGAGCACTACACAAACAAAAGAGCAGTAGACTCCACCAGCTTTCCAGGCCTCCTTGATCTGCTGAACCATGGACTTTTCATGTCAAAGGGAAGACATGCTCAATTTGAGGAACCTGAAATAATTCTGTCTGATTTAGAATTAATTCAAGAATGTCTGAAGGCTGCATACGAGAAAAATGTTGAAGATATCAAACTAGCAGAGAGCTACATCCTCTCCAACATCCTCTTAAGCAACAAGAAGCCAGATTCTCCTAAACTCAGCCCAGTGAATGAACTCAAAAACATCATTCACACATTCTTGGAAAGAGAAGAAGGAAGTAGGAGACCTGAGTTTTATCTTTTGGTGCTGATGTTGTTTTGGCCTGAAAATCAGCTTCAGGTGCCACAAAACAAGAACGATGAAGAAGTCGGACAAAAGGCCACAGAGGACAGTAAGTCAGCAGACTCAACCTGGGAGGACAAGGACACTGATGAGAAACGAGACAAAGAACCTGGGGAACCTGCACAGCTTCCTGCTGACCTCATGTTTGACATCAACCTGCAACAGTATGTCACATTCATGGAGGAAGCATTTAAGAAAGCCGACTATGCCAAGTACCTGCGAGGACGTTACTTGTTGCCATTGTTTTTTCTGGGAAAAGGCTCCGGACTGAGCAAATGGATCCACAGATCCAGGCTGGATGCAATAGTGGAGGAGAAGGTGGATGCTGAGTTAAAGGACAAACAAAATAAAAAGGAGAAGATGAGGCGGATCAATCATCTGTGGCTCAGTGGGAAAGTGTGGCACATTACAGATATCAGAGATATCCTACTTCCGGTCCAGATCGAGCCGAGTTCTTCTGCAGAGTCACAGGAGCTTGAAGAACAGGAAGTGTGTGTTTGTGTAGGAGACCAGAAAATAAAGGCAAGAACAGAAGCTCAACCACCTGAACCAACGCTGCCAACAAGGCTGTTCTACTTGGGCTTCACCATTCAGGCTCCTGTTGTCTTTGAAGTGGGAGTCCTTAACTCTGAGAGTGACCGTCAGTGAACTCTATTATGGACATTTACTTTACTGAGTTTACTGTGAAAAACAGTAAAAGTAAAGCACGAGTCATACCTGAAAAATCTCAGATGACTGCATGTGTAGATAAAGAAGAAATATTAATATTAAAATAACAGTAATTTTTACAAATTTCTTTTTCAGTTTGCTGAAAAGCTTTCTGATACCTAATTTAAGTTTCTGTTTCGCCAGTTATAATGTTGTTTGAATATGTATTTTCCTACATTTGATGAATTTCAGGTTTCATTAATGCAACATATTTGTGACTGTAATCACTGCTTTAAAAATGCTTTTGTAAATGTAATAAAAATATGTACACTTGAACATGAACAGGGATTATCTCCTTCATGTCTTTTTTCAGATTTCAGCTACAGATGTGCACGAAGTGATTTTAACCAAGTTTACCATCATAACAAATGAATAAAAAAACCTTTTATTTTCATGGTCCTGGGTCGTTGACCCAGAGTTTTGTGTTTCCTTTTGGTTTCATCTCGTGTTTTGTGTTAATTCTTATTTTGTATTAGTTCTTAGGGTTTGGTTCTTGTGTTTATTGCTTCAGTGTTTTATCAACCCTACCTGTGTCTGTCCTCTGTGCTCTGTTTGTGCTCCCGAATTTGTGTTGTAAAACAGTGTGTGTTTCCTATTTTACTTTGTAGGTCTGTGTCTCTTCTTGTGAATTAGGTTCAGTTGTGCTCAGTTGTATCTCCTGCTGTCCTTATGTTTTCAGGTCTGTTTGTTAGTTTTCCCAGTTTAGGTTTATGTTCAGTTCTGCCCTCACCTTGGTTATGGTTCACTGTAAATAAAACTCACTCGCACCTGCGCCGCTGTCTGCTATGTGGATCCTCCTTCTCACCTCCACACGACTGCTGCCACAGCCGTGACATTTATATGCTGTTATATTTTATTTATATGTCAGAAGTTTCAAGTCATTGGCAGCTGGTAAAAAGAGTCTAAGTCTAATCTGAATGTCATCCATGACTGCAGTTTAGTCACCACACCAACAACTTTAAAACAAAACATTTAAAATCTTGCAGTCAAATTAGGTGGAGAGGGGCACATTCTCAAATGCTTCTTTATTCTCAGGCCACAAAATTCCATCATTGAATGGTTTACTGTTTTTTGGGATTTTGTGGGAAATCACAAACGTCACTGTTCCTTTCCCTGGATGTGTGAAGCTTTGTAGTCCGTCAAGTTCTCATGTTTCGCTGCGTTTTTACTCTTGTACATGTGATTCAAACTGTAATCCTTAAACACAGCAATCTGCTCTCTATAAAATAAACACATGGCTATGTCAGTTAAATTTGTAAAAAAAAAAAAAAGACGCTGTCAAGATAGCGCCTATTTGCAAAAGTGCTTCATTGTTTGTGCATTGTTTCTGGAAATGCCGCTGCCAGCTCACCTTGGAAGTTGGAATGGCCGGAGTTTGCACAGCTCTCAGTATAAACCCAGCTGGCTGTCGCCTCTCTGAGGCTTTCATATCAGGTCTTTGTTTCCTTTATAAAGGCAGTTGAATATGCTGCTGGCCAAGGGCGTAGATTTGGTTTTGGCATTGGTGGGGACCGAACCCTGCCCTGTTTCTTTTTTTTTTTCCTTTTTGTCTTTGCTTCTTGATAACAAAAGGAGAAATATACTTGCCTACATATGCTATTCTACGTGCTTTTAAACCATTTAAAATTACAATTCATATTTTTATATGTGAATTATATAATGTTAAATTACTATTAAACAAATGACTGACTAAGTATTTTAGGCTTTAGTTTACTTCAGCCATATTCCATATAAATCAGGTATCATACAAAAATAAAAATAGCTTCAAATAGAGTCATGACAATAAAAGAATATGACTTTAAGTACTTAACAACATTACTTCAGTTGTACTACACCAACATCTCTTATATGCATAAGCACTAAGGAAACACTGAATGACCTGGTGGTTTTTGTCCATAAAACTACTCGTCTAAGATTACCACAAAGTAAAAGATCTCTCAGCAAAATTATGCAACATTTTAGGCAC